TTTTTTTTTTTTTTTTTTTTTTTTGTATCTCGAGACAGTCAGCAATCTAAATTACGCTGTAGAGTTATCTACCTCTTATCATATTTATATGATCATGATAAACACTAACATTAATTATCGTACAATATCTTATGAAAACAAAGAAGAAGAAGAAACACGACAAAACCCCAAATTTATATCACTTTAAAAAAGATCATAACAAAAATGGGGGATTCAAAAAGGACAAAAAAATAATGCCAACCCCCGGCCATTTATCAAATCATATATCATCAGGCTCTTGGCTCCTGGTTCTCTTTGATTGGAAGGCCTGGTACTAGGGCCATGGGCATGCTCATGGCCGTTGCAGAGAAATTGCTGTTGGCGGGTGCTGCTTTTTGCAACTTAACTTCATTTGCTTCAATATCTTCTACCACTAGCATTGAATTGCCATTTCCTTGAACACCCTTTACTGGTTCTGGTATCGTCTCAGGGTCGATCTCCATTTTCTCCTTGTGCTTCCCCCACAGGACTGAGTACAGGCCTATGACTATCAAGATTGAACCAACAATACTGCACCATACCCAAGTACTTCAGCAAATTAGTTGTAAGTACATTAATTAAGGGAAACCATTTAAATAATCTAAGAATTCAATGATGATAATCATGTAGTATAATTAATACTAAACCGGTATCACTAAATTAAAGAATTTTGTACTTCATGAGAGATTCCATCGAGACTCATGAGTAAAAAGTGATCACAACAATATGCTTCCCTAGATGAAGATGCTATGCCAGTTTGGATACTACCAAGGAATAAAGGGTATGTAGATGCATGCATGCATGCATGCATGATAATAACAATTAAAAAAAAAATATTAAGTGAAAGGAGGAAATTACCCTCCAAGGAATATCTTTTCTGCCAAGATGAAGGAGCCCATGATGGCTACAATGATCATCATCAACGGGCTAAAGGCCGTAGCAAAAACTGGACCTTTCTTCTTTATCACTATTCCTTGGACATAGTATGAGATGCTCGATGTCACAATCCCCTAAACATTGGAAAAGAAGTAAAAAAAAGAGCGCATAACCTCGTCAATATTTCCTAAACAAATCTCAAAGACAAAAGGTGTGTATGTGTGGGTGGGCGTAGAGAGAGAGAGAGAGAGAGAGAGAGAGAGTATTACAGCATAGGCAGCAGCAAGTAGGTTCATGTCCCAGCCAATTACCCAAACAGAGGGCTTGTGCTCCATCACAAATGTCACGGCAATAGCTTGCAGGGTTCCAATGAAGCACATAAGTGATGTGAGAGAAAGCTGGTGGTTCTTGTATGTCTTCAATGCTTTCGTCTATCATGTGATCATAAACTTTAATTACTTTCATGAATTTGTAAAGAAGAAGAAAAAATCACAGGACCTATGCGGATCTTCTTTTCAGTTCTTGCATCATCACTTACTTGCAAAACAAACAAGGAAGACCAGGCAAGAGTAGCAATGATAAGAAAAATGGAGCCCTTAAACCAGTCTTTGTCAGTCGTTCCTGTGGTATCAGTCACAAAGGATTTACGTGGATGGATATACTTAGACCAAAGCATCTCTACAACAGGACCCTTGTATAAGGTCATCAACATTGCCCCAGCAACTGTCACTGCAGTTCCCACCAGCTTTGCTTGGCACCTCACCTTCTTTATGTCCAGTTTCTCCATCCTATGTACACAATAACAAATCCAGAATCTCCTTAATTAGAGAGAATCCTAACATCAATTTAACAGTACTGCCGAACAAGAATCCTAATAAAGTCATAGCAGGAAGCATGCTGGTTTGATATGCTTACCGGAATATGACAGCCATGACAAATGTCATAGCAGGAAGCATGTTGCTCATTGCACAGGAGAAAGTTGGGGAAGTGAACTTCAGCCCAGCATAGTAAAAGTTCTGGTCTATCACAGGTCTATCAAATGAAAATAAAACTTGATTTCAGCGCAAGGCACATAAAGCATATAGCATTTGTAAGCCACGCCATGATTAATATTGAACAAGAAATGTTTAGCAGGGACTAACCCAAGAAGGGCAAGGACAAATATCTGAATGAAAACAGGGAAGGTGATCCTCGGTTGCATTTTCCTGAAATGCAACAAATATTTCGTTAGGATAAAAGAAGAAACTTGCAAGTTATGCTCAAATACTGAACAAAAACCATGTATGTGTCTTGATTTAAACCTCTCAAAAATCAGAGCAAATGGAGCTATGACTGCAGTGGCAATGGCATGGCGATAAACCACGAGGACATAGTGGCTCATACCACGGTTAAGTGACACTTTTGTTATAATATTCATGCCGGCATAACCAAACTGTAAAGAGATCATGGCAAAGTACGGTTTTGAACTCTCAAGGAACTTGCTGCAACACCCAAGGTTGTTCATTTTCCTTGCACACAGATGGGATTCTTTTAGCTTAAGTAGAAAGGAAGGAAGAGATCGAGGAAGGACAACTTGAGAAGGTTGTGTTCTCCCTAGGAAAAAACCAGCTAGCGAGTCACGTATTTATAGTAGGGTGGAGGGAACTTTCTCTTTTGCAAGAGCATGGATGTGAAAATAGTGCATTTAATTTGAAAAACAATAAAATAAAAATAATTCTAAATAGATTTGATTTAATATCCAAATTAACTCAAATTATGTTTTGAATTCGAAACAGAGAGGATATAATAACACGTAAACAGATCATGAACGTTAAAATACTTGATGTTTTTGGCTCTGAGAGGGAAAGGGCTAAGGTGGTGTACGCGTGGCAGCAGTGGAGTAGTAGTGAGTATCTGAGTCACCTTCCTAAATGGTTGGTGATGTAAGGCCACAGTGCCTTATAATTGGAGGGCATTTTTTCTTTTTTGATAGATTGTTATATAAGAGAGGGAAAGTGCGGGGTGGGCTCCCGTGACGCGCATGTAAATTTTCCACGGGCAGTGAATATCAAATCAAGACCGTTGGATCAATGGACCTCCCAAAGTACATCATGGCAAATCAAGAAGTAGTTAATGAATATAAGATTCATGGTTATCAACATGGGAATCTAGTTATACATGCATCTTATTTGTGACGACGAGTCTTGAATTAAAGTAATCTTTGCCTACCTTGATTTGCTTTTTTTTATTTTTAATCTTTAAATCATAATTATAAAAAAATTTCAATTTATAATTCTATTCGAGATTCATTCGAGTTGTAAATTTAACAAACTGTAAATTTAACAAACTAAACTATAAGTGGACAAAGTAGTTATAAATCTATTATTACTTTTTAATTAAAAAAATTAAAATAACATTAAAACTATAAGTCGACAAAGTAGTTATAAATCTATTATTATTTTTTAATTAAAAAAATTAAAATAACATTAGTGTAAACAAAAGTTAATGAATAAATAAATAAATTATTAATGGAGCCAATTTAAAAAAAAATCCAATTTATATTAGATTTATGATTAATTTATCTAATTAATTTATGAAACCTTGCCGGATTTGATAACTATAATTTAAATGCATTGAAGTGGCTTCAAGGAATCGAATATAAGTCGGTAAAATACCACTGCCTAGCTAGAACAGAAATTGATTCGCAAAGCGGTCAGAATTCCATTGAAGTTTTTATATAGAGATAACCCTAATACATCTCCTCTGTTTCTTCTACCACACAGCAGCTAGTTCACATGAAAGCAATATTTACGTCTAAACATTAAATCTTATAGCATTGAAGGAATATTTCAACAATTAAGATTTGAAATCTTCATTAAAAGATTTCATGTTCATTAATACAATATTTATGGCATCTCCTGACTATACTTCCGAACTTTGTACCAAGCCTCATCATCGGCTGAAGAGCTAGATTATGAGTTTAGCGGCTCAATCTATAGGTAAGTGGAACAATGTTATTCTAAATAAAAATTAAAAAACAAATTACTAGATCCGTCTAGGTTTTGCCTAGATTAATCACAATCTCAATCCAAAAAATTCCAATCCCGTCCGGATCCATATCTTGATCAGCATATCAGTGGTTAGACCTGCTGAGGCTGGTCAGATTTCATAGCTATGACCAAGACTAATCAATACAATATTTTGGCTGATAAAATAAAGAAGGAGAACATCTGCGTGCAACACTGTGAGCCTGATATTACTGGGGATCCCTCCTCCTAGTTACTTTTTTGAAGACACCATATATTCCCATGAATCTCACATGATATCAGTAGATCGAAGAGAAATGGAGGGCCAATTTGCAATTTCAATATCCTCTCGTAGACTGTGTAACGAATGCATATATTCTTTTCTTCTTCAATATCCTCCCGTAGACTGTGTAACGAATGCATATATTCTGGCGGCTACAACTTGTTCTGTATTGTTGATTTCGTATCAGCAATGTTTGTCCTAATTCGATTCAACAAAGAAAAATGTTTTCTTCCCCCTCCCCCTGAATTTCTAAATAGAATAATGCTTTGCCAGGTTAACCCCCTTTTCATAATTCCTTGGTGGCACTTCTTAATCTAGCTCAATATACAATGGAGATTTTGCATATAGAAGGAAGCAGCCTAGAGTAGATTTTTTGTATTTAAATGGTCAAAATAAAGGTAATCCATAGTTTTTGGACTTAGTATATATATAGTTCCCTTTTTGTTGAAAAAAATACATATGATTGTTCTAGCTTTAGCATATGCTTAGATTTGTTTGACTGAGTTAGAGACGGGTCAATTTTTTTTTCCTAATCTAAAAAAGATATTCAAATGGTGATAAATTAAGTGAACTTTAATTAATTTGACTAACTCACGATCTAAGATAATGTTACAGATAAAAAAAGAAAAAAAGAAAAAGTCTAAGGCTAGATAGAGTAATCTTAAATAATGAAATTAAACAAAATAAAATAAAAAATAAGACCTAAATTAAGTCGAGCTAATCTTCGAAACCAAGAACTTTAATTATGAGACAGAGATGATCATACAGAAGACTAAAAAAAATCTTGAACAAAATTCTTAACTATCAAAAAATAAAAAAGAAAACAAATAATAATCAAAACAATAAAAACTAAATCTTATATAAAAACTAATGAAAGAAAATAATGAGGAACTTAATCGAAGAATAAAATAAAAAAAGATAAAAGATAAAAAACAATTAAAAAATAAGAACCAATATTGGATAAAAAATAAAATAAAATATTAAGGAACAAAATTGAAAGAAAAAACAAATTAAGAAAATGATGAAAAAAAAGTTATTACAAAAATAAAAACCAGATCTTGGAAAAAAAAAGAAATGAAATAAAATATTGAGGGATAAAATTTAAAAACAAATAACCAAGAAAATGATTAAAAAAAAATCAGAAGCATTAGTATTGTGTTTAATATAAAAAAATAAAACAAAATTAAATGGAAAGGGATAAAACTGAAAAAAAAAAACATAATCCAAAATAGAGAAAGACCACTAAAAAATGGGATCATAATTGAATTTTTTCTTCATTATTTTTTTAAAAAATACTACCTTTTTTTACATTTCAGCTTCATAAAAAATCAAGCGACGATCTAAAAGAAAATCATGTCAACACCTATTGATATATTTTTTGGTGTTATTTTTTTTTATCAAAATAATACTATTTTTACTTCCTATGCAATAAAAAAATTTGATTGACCGTGGTAACTCTGGTTATTCTACCCAACTTGTGACCCAATACATAAAAAGGCTTAACTCTTAGGCTGAGTTTTAAAAACATAATAAAAAAACACCAAATATGATATGAAAATTCAATGAATTTAAATAATGAGGGATGAAATTGTTAAAGAAATAATCAATTAAGAAGAGAAATCAAAATAAAAGGAATTGCAATCGCAAGAGTGATAATCAAATTCAATAAAAAAAATAAAAAAAATGATTAAGGGTTAAAAATAAAATACAATCAGAAAAAAGATTAAAAACAAAATAAATAGGAATCAAAAAAATAAAAATTGAAATTGAAAAAAAAAACATAAAAAATCAAATGACAATAGATGAAATTGAAAAGAAAATAAATTGAATTTGATATAATTAAAAAATTAAGGATCACTTTTTTAATTTTGTAAGGCCAACACACCTTTTATAATGAATGAAAGCGAAAAAAAAGGGAGGGAAAATTTTTTCTTAGAGCTCCTCTATGTAATGGGATGCTGATACACGACAGCCCACCATATGTAGGGTGATGCGTTACCTTGAACACCACTCTAAAAAGCTACCAATGACAATTGGAAAGTGCTGCACATGTCAAATATTTTTTTTTAATTGTAAAACTAGAATATCCTTGACTCTGTAGGATAATTGTAAGAAAATCGAGGCTAAAAAATCAAAAATACCCTTTGATCTTAGGCAAAAAAAACTGACCCCAAATGCTATTTAGTAATTAAACTGTATAAAAAAATATAAAAATTCAAAAATATCCCTAGGAGATTAACTATATTGTTATTTTTTCAAGGGCATGGACATAATTATATTGTGTAATATGTAAAAATATAATTTTGCCTTTTAGTGTGTGTTCAGTTATTTGATTTTTAAATAGTATAATAATCATTTTCCTATGGATTACATTGTTCAAAATTTATAGTAAAACACTAATGATTTTTAACTTTATATATAATAATTCATTTGGCATTTTTTGTTGTTTGTTAAATAAATGTTTTTTTCTTTATATAATGCCTTTATTTTCTATTATAATGAAAAATCTTTATCTTGAACCTTATTCACTTTTCTAGAAAAAATTAAAGTTACCCCCTTATCAATTGGGCCGTTAATTCCAAGATTGGCTTTTTTATCATTAGAATATGGCCAATTGATGATTTGTTTTTTTAGTATAATTCAGCTAATATTTTTCTCTTCTTTTATAATAAGGAATTGAAAATTAAATAAACAAAATAAGTTATTGGATCAAAATTAAAATTTCAAAAACTATAAAAGTTCCAAATGAAGAAAAAAGAAAATATGTGGACTTAAAAATACTTTTTCAAATGAATTTAAGATTAACCACATGCTTTTTCTCCATGTTTTATATTTTGGCTCTTTTATATTAGAAGCTTTCTTTTCTTAACAAATTTTTAGAAATTGATTATTAATTGGGCCGTAAAAAAAATGTAAGAATAAAATTTTAAAAAAAATTGTGTTACCGTGGATTGCTACATCCTTGCATTTTTAGTATATTTTGCAATTGCAATTATAATTTAAGTTACGGGACATCTTAATATCTGTATTATAAATGTTAGTAGGATCTTTTGAGATATTAGTTTAAGCATGTAGGCCACTCAATCAATTAAGTGCAATTATAATTTAAGTTACGGGATATCTTAATATCTGTATTATAAATGTTTGTAGGATCTTTTGAGGTAGTAGTTTAAGCATGTAGGCCACTCAATCAATGTATCTACTTTTAAGTCAATATTCACGACTAGGAATTAAATAAAGGCTTTTTCTTCGAGAGTGAAGAGAAGAGAAGCAATCCACACACACACACACAATTATATATCAGTACTAGATCTTTATT